TATGCATTCCTACTGTCAGCACTGATTTTCAGCTGAGCTTGTTACCCAGGGCAGCAGCCTAATGTCTCAGTGTTAATGGATGCGTGGTCTAGATCTAGTGCATTCGTGGCATATTTCGGACACCCGTCTTAGAATGTCACTTTTCTTATTCCCCATTTCCTCCCATCTTACTCATCATTCCAAATAACTTGTAAATTTAAGTGAAAAAGCTTTTTAAAGCTATTTTGAAGATAATGTTTTATGAGAGCAAGGGGCCGCCCGCAAGCCTAGACCTGTGTTTATCGATCGCTTGCAAGCCTAGCACTAGTAGCAGCAAAATAAAACTAGCAAATTTGGTCCCGATATGCATGTATTTTATTATATACGAAATTAAGCTGTGCTTGTGGCTAAAACTCTGTATTCTAGAGAAGAATTAGAGTGAGGTTATTAGCGTGATATACATGTAACGTCATATAGCAACCAGGAGCGGCAAATTTTGTCAATTTCCGTGACGTATGGCATTGCGCTTAAATTACGTATTTTCAACACGTACTACAAACGTCATAAGACAACGAAGGGGTTAAAAAAAGAAAAGAAGAGACCAGCACAACAGCTCTCCATGGAGCAAATTCATCAACATAACCAGAAAGAGATGAAGTACCTCACAACCCACCTCATTAATGCAGACAACACATCTCCATCCCTTGTCAACTATTCTCATCGCACAAAATTCACAACTTATGCATATATTTCAATAGTTTCTTAAATTACCACAGTTATAAACAAATCCGTTTTGTATTTAGGGTTCATAGTAGCCATCATAAAGAATAAAGAGCAGAAAAAAAAGCAATCCTGGTCGTAATCATCAACTCACCCGAATCTTTTCCACAAAGGTGATAGCTTCCTTCCATTGTTCCCGCAGTATCAGTTTGTCCTGGGCGCCACTGTAGTACTCCGACAAATGTTTCTGCAAACACACAAAGCATAAATATTTAAATTTACTACTGCATAGTCGATTTTGCTTTAAGCTGATATCAAACAGAACAAACACTTCAAAGAGACATTACTTTTGAGCAGTCTCTCCACATTTAACTATCTGAAATAGTCTTTCCAATATGGCTGTACGTAAAGGCCGTTGTTATTTGAAAAAGAAAACGAAAAATTAAAAACATCTCTTGTGCCCTTCAGGTTAGCCCGCAAAAGACAAAAGCAAAAAAGA